TTTTACACCAGCCGTACCATTCTGTCTCCCACTCGCTCAGTCTACCCCCTGCTTTCTCATTCAACTCGCTCTCTATCACTTTGTCTCTCACCGTCTCAGTGCACCTCACTCTTCTCATTCATCTCTCTCTCCTTTTCTCACTCTCTCCCAGTTTGTCTCTCGGTGTCTAAAATCATTTCCCGCTCCTCATTCAAGCCGTTCTCACTCTATCTTTTGCAATCTGCCTCACACTGTCAAAATCAGCCTCGCTCTCCCACTCTTTCACCCCCTCTGTCTCTCACTGTCTAAATCACAGTCCCTAAAGGAACACTGAAGCTTCTCTCATTGCACTAGTCTTCACGCGGTGGCTTTTTTTCTGTTCTTCCTATTTCCACGTTCTTCCTCTCTGCTGTAACATTTTCAAAATATTCACAACACTCTCCATAAAATATTTAGCTAGTATATGGGTGATTCCTTAATGACAGGCACTTTTATGTCACCACATTTTTATTGAAACTGAAAGATTTGAACTTACAAAGGTCACATTAAAACGATCTTGGAAACTTTCATTTATCCTTTGAAAAGTATGCCTTTTGAAAAATACCTTTTTTGTAAAAAAAAAAAACGGTATTTGCTTTAAGCTATGAAAAGATTATGTTAACAAAATTATATTAAGATTAATTTTATATTTATTATGAATATAAAACTATATTTTATATTCATAATAAATATAAAATCAATCTTAATATAATTTTGTTAACAATCTTTTCATTCTAAAACATGAAAATCATAAATATATTACTATATTCTTTAAAAAATAACATTAATAGTTAAAACTCAAACTTTGTTAATAATTGACAAATTTAAATAAACTATATATCTAAATTACTTAATAAACTGAGTTATAACAATGAATGATTTATATAAGTGTATAAATATTTTAATAAATATTGTGATTTGTAAATCTGTAAAAATATAAATATTTACACAAATTAGGATTGTAATTACTGCTGTCAACTGTCCTTGGTTACCAAGAAGACAACAGTGTTAGTTAAGCATACTTGATATGAAATATGAAATGATATGTAAAGAAAAATTAAGATCTAGAATATTTTATTGCTTGTCATATCCAGTCATGCTGTGATTTTGTAAAATTGTGCAAATAAAATATAAAAGACTATCATTTGATGTAGGATACATAAAATGCTAGCTATTAAAAATATCCTTAGCAAGACAAATGAATTAGCTATTTTATTAAAATTAAAAAGTGATTTCCACCACAGAAGGTAAATAAAATACATAACTTGAAATTTGTAGGTTCAGACAAAGAATATCTAAACTGACATACATTTTCCTGTGATATACGTATATCCACTGCAGAACATTGTTAGTGGACAAACTGCGTGTGTGTGTGTTTTGTTTGTTTGTTTGTTTTTAAAGTATAGTTAAAGAAACACCCATATATGTGTATTGCTATGTTAAAGAAACTTCCTTGACATCTGGTAAAGCTGAAAGACAAATGATCACTCATCACAGGCAGGTGCCAGACACACGTGTACGATCAATCATCAAAATAAATCTTTTTGAAATGGCAATTATAGCTTATACTGAAAAGGTCAAGCTGAAAGAAATATAATGCTGCAAAGAAACTCTTATAGAAGAGCTGCAGCGAAAATATCCACTTGAAACATAGCAATAATAGGTTAGACAGGCTACGTGATTTCAGTTGAGCGTCAAATCAATGTCTTCATTCGTTCATGAGCAATTAACAACAAGTGTAGCACAACCTCATTCATTAGAGGAGCTCAGGGGGTTGATTCCACATATACAGCAGCTACATGTGTATGTGTGTGTGTGTGTATGTGTGTGTGTGTGTGTGTGTAACATACATGCAAGGTGTTGTTTTGATTGTGAGAGATGCTAAAGAGTGACTTTCCTGTTCGTTGTGTGTTCATGTGCAAATTCTGGCTGGTGTGTGTGTGAGAGAGTCTGTGTGTCCAAACTCATCCAGCAACTGAAGCACGGTGTGTTAGTGACAGAACTCTAGAGCATGTAATTTCCTTTCCACGATGCTGACCTTCTGAATGCACATCAGGAAATACACGGTGGACACAACCAACCAACGCTAACCGCAATTACAGCTAATAAAACGCGACAGATCACAGCTGAGCGCCTGGCTGAGAACTCAGTTATGTGAAGATGTACAGTAAAAGTACAGAGCCTCTGAGGCAAGTATGAGATGATATCATGAAAAAAAAAAAAAGCTAATTTGCTGTCTCTGCAGTTTTGAATCCGCATGCTCTCAGTGCTGATTTTGAAGATGTAAACTATCTTAAAGTCACGATGTAACAGAAGCGACATATCTTTTCTTTCATATTGTATTGTATGTCCGAATAGAACAAATTATCGAAAATAAAAAAATGTAGAAAGGTAAAAATTAGAAGGAAAAAAAAAATGAATCAAATACAGTACATGGATAAATCGTTGAATCATTCATCAATAATCTGCATTTAGAAAATAGATATGGTTCATTTCCATTTCAGGCCAATGTTAAAGATTTTTCTAAACAAAGACTAAAGATTTTGTGAAACATTTGTGATCTATAATCTAAAAATAAACTATAATCTATAATAAAGTGATAAAAGTGTTTTTGTTTTATCAACTTTTGTGGCATCTGAACTACTTGAAACCCCTGTTGAGACACATTCAAGGGTTCAAGCCTTGTTTAGGTGGGTCAAAATCCCCAAATCCCCTAATTTGCAGCCTCAACAACTTCAAAATCAACATGAAACAGTGTTCCCATTGTACTTCTGTAACCTGACATTTCTGAGAAAAACATAGGCAGAGCTAGATTTTATCCATTAGAAACGGACTCAATCTTGAAAAGTGGGCATTACAGAGCAGAATGGAACCAGGTATTGGAATATTACAAAGGCAAGCATTTTTTCTCTCTTTGGAATAACATGCACATGCATTAAGAAACTGGAGCAATTTTAATATCATGTTGATAAAAAAATAAATAAATGATAAAACATTTTTTTTACCTCAATGTTTAAAGAACATGATAATTCTATGAATGATACGAGTGTAAATTCTATGGAAATCTCCAAATTTCTCTTCGGAATTCAAAAGGTACAGATACTGTGTGAGACTATAAATTACAACCTGACCACGAGTCCATTTACTAAACGCATTCCCATTTTCATCATTCTCTCTTTATCTCTCTGTCTTCGTGTCTGTCTCTCTCTACCTCTCTACACTGCATCCAAAGTTCTCTTAAACATACTAATACATTCATTACACACACACACACACACACACACACACACACACACCACTTTCTGCAGCTCCTGAATATTGTATGCTCTCTCACTGACTTTCATGTTTCAGCATTGTGTGCATCATTTATACCAGACCAATTAACATCCCCCCTTAAACCTTGTGCCGCTACAGCAAAGGCTGAATCTCATTTGATATTCTCTTTCATTTCTGCTGCTGGTACGGAGGATAACACCCAACTATCAATGGCCACACACTACATTCTCCCTACCCAAAGTGTACTTCATAAACAACTTTGAAAGAGCTGCTTAAACAATCCTTGCTTAACTTGTCTAAAATAGTGGTATTTTCTACTCTTGCTCAGAGTAACTTCTTAAAACCTGGGTTTAAACCAGATAATCTTGAAAGAAAACAAAAAACAACCCTTAAAAATGGCATGCCATGAAAAGACTGACACTACGTTTGATGACACAAATTTCAAGAAAAAAAAAAAAGAAATTTAAAAGTATCAGATTCAGCCAAGCAACTAAATATTATTTTGCTTCCGAGAACCATTTATAAGATATTATCCTTTAAAGGGGTCATATCATGCGTATTCAATTTTTCCTTTCTCTTTGAAGTGTTACAAGCTCTTGGTGCATAAAGAAGATCTGTAAAGTTGCAAAGACTAAAGTCTCAAATCCAAAGAGATATTCTTTATAAAATTTAAGTCAACCACGCCTACCTAAAACGGCTCGTTCTAACACGCCCCCACATCTCGTCACGATGTTCACGCAAAGAAAGAAGGCGAAACTTTTATTCTCGCTGTAGTATTGTTGCTGCCGCCATGTCGTGAAGGCGCT